GCTGGCGCAGATCGGTGATCGCAGGGTTGGTTTGGATATTGGACGTCAAACAGACTTCAATCGCGATACGTTTATCCGCGATGTAGGACGCTAACTCACGGATATATCGTTGTTTGTCGGTAATAGTCGGATCTTTGATCATCTCAGGGATAAACATCGAATAACCATGGCCGATGCGATCCGCATAACATTCGGTGATGGCTTCAAACACCGATTCAGCCCCATAAGCTTCACCCGCATGCAGCGTTTTTAACAAAAAATGCTGGTGGGCATATTCGTACACTTCTTTAAAATTATGCGCCGGATAGCCCGACTCTTGACCTGCCAAATCAAGCGCAACGATGGGAATACCTTCGTCATCACGTAACCGCACGCTAGCGCGCACTAATTCCATCGCCGCCAACTTGATCACATGCATAGGTTCAAAATCACGCATCAGTTGGAATAAGTTGGTGTAATACGGCGAAAAACCTTTGCCGGAAAACATCCGCATCGCGCAGTTGATAATGCCGTATGCAAACGGCGGCTTGTCACCTTGTTGGATCTCAGGGCGCGCATTGTATTCTTGCATTGCCCGCTTTAGGCCGTTATTCACCGTGTGCATGACGCGGTCAACATCAATGCCCCGCGCCACATCCATCAATAGTTGCGGCGCGAACCGCACTTCAATGTAGTTCACACCTTCGTTTTGGTTATCGATGGCCAACTCGTAGGCGGCGCGTTCTAAATGCTCTAAATCACGCAGCACAGCACAGGTGTATTGAAAGCCGTGTAAATACTCCCCCAAATTGGCATAACGCTCTTTAAACACCAATTCTTGCATGCCTTGCACTGTGTCGGACGGCAATTGAATGTTACTGCTGCGCGCCATCTCGATCAGCGAATCCAGCCGCAAACTGCCATCAAGGTGCAAATGCAGATCAGATTTTGGCATTTCTTTAATAAATTCAGCGGAATAAAACGGCATGGCGGTTCCTTAACTAATAATGACGACAAAGCCAACTGCGGCGTCAACACAAAGAAGTGTCGGGGCGTTCGAGGTGTTAGTTGCCAAATCGCGCGATGGATCGGCGGATAAACAGCGGGCTTAACCCTGTAGTCTAGCGAATCGTCGGCATTTGGTCAGTTGAAATTTAGCAAGCGCTGTTTTTGCGAAGGCAACGTGGGCTTGTCATGCCTGCTTTGCACCCGCCATCAGGCACGCCATCGGCAGTTTTTATCCTTCACGATCGTCATCACGTATGCTCGGCTAGAGCAAGCCACGCGCTAAAAAACGCCAAATTGATGAAATAAAAACCAATTGCAACAATTTGCTGCACAAAATAAGTGACAGCAGGCCGAAGGCTCGTTAGAATCCTGCCCACGCATCGCGTCTACATCCTATCCTGCCCGGGTGGTGAAATCGGTAGACACAAGGGATTTAAAATCCCTCGGGGGTAACCCCGTGCCGGTTCAAGTCCGGCCCCGGGCACCATTTATCTTCCTGTTGTTTCTTCTTCGTCATTATTCAAAGCAGTTGTCGCTTAGTTATTCTGTTGTCTGCGGCAGTGTTTGACATATTCACACTTGACTATCTTTTCGCGCCGACTCACCCACCGCTTAAAAGTCACTCAGCGACAGTGTTTGCTGATGTGTATGGCGACTAGCCCGCTGCTGAGCTAGGGCCATCAAGCACGCATAAAGCGGCGGCTCCCATAAATTAGCCATCTAGAAATCTATGTATAAAATCAATCGGTTAGTTAATCACCCGACCAGCCTCGTAAAGTTTTAGCCATCTATACTGTTGCATTTGCAAAAATGCCGTGGTACTAATAAAAAATCACCAGTACGAAACGATTTGAAATCGCGATGCTGGATAAATAAAAACTAAAGAAAACAACAGATTCAAAAAATGAACAAGTTGAACGCCATTACCATTCTTCTCAACCTCCTCGTGCTCCTCAAAGGACCTCGGGGTTTGGTGCATTGGTAAATCTGCGTTAAGCAAAATCCAGCAAAAAAACCCCGAGCTTAGGCCGGGGTTTTTTGTTACCTCAAGGCCTGACAGGTGAAAAAATCAGCAACGAGGAACAACATATGAGCAGCGCAAACGACAAGATCTGGATCTTCGACACCACGTTACGGGACGGCGAACAAGCCCTGCGTGCCAGCTTAAGTCACAAGCAAAAAATCCAGTTGGCGCATGCGATCGCTCGCTTGAACGTCGATGTCATGGAAGTCGGTTTTCCGGTGTCATCACCTGGTGATTTCGCCTCGGTGCAGGCGATTGCCCAAAGTGTTAAAGGGCCGATCATCTGTGGCTTGTCGCGCGCTGTGTTCGCCGACATCGACGCCTGTGGCGAGGCGTTAAAAGACGCCGAACGCCGCCGTATCCACACCTTTATCGCCACCTCGCCGCTGCACCTGCAATACAAATTACGCAAAACTTTAGCGCAAGCCACCGAACAAGCCGTCGCTTGTATCCAGCATGCCCGCCGCTACACCGATGACGTGGAATTTTCCTGTGAAGACGCCGGCCGCACGCCCATTGACGACTTGTGCCGCATTGTCGAAGCCGCCATCAAAGCGGGCGCCAGCACCATCAATATTCCAGACACAGTCGGCTACACCATTCCCAACGAATTTGGCCAGATCATCAGCCAGCTGATGCACAAGGTGCCGAACATCGACCAAGCGCGCATTTCGGTGCATTGCCACAACGACTTAGGCTTGGCAGTCGCCAACTCCATTAGCGCCATTCAAGCGGGTGCACGGCAAATCGAATGTACCGTCAATGGCATCGGCGAGCGCGCAGGCAACTGCTCGTTGGAAGAAGTGGCGATGATCATCAAAACTCGTGGTGATTTTTTGCCGTTTTACACCGACATCAAAACCACCGAAATTTACCGTTCCAGCCATTTGGTCAGCCAAATTTGCCACATGCCAATTCAGCCCAACAAAGCGATTGTTGGCGAAAACGCCTTTGCCCACAGCTCCGGCATTCACCAAGATGGCGTGTTAAAAGCGCAAAACACCTATGAAATCATGTCGCCGGAACAAGTCGGCATTCGCCAAAACGAGCTGAATCTGACCTCGCGTTCAGGCCGCGCTGTGATCTCCCATCGCTTAAGCGAAATGGGCTACAGCAAAGACGATTACGACTTAGACCAAGTGTACCAAGCCTTCTTGGCGCTGGCCGACCAAAAAGGCCGGGTGTTTGACTACGACTTGGAAGCCTTGGTGTTTTTTGAAAACTTAAAAGACAACGACGAGCGCTTTAAGTTGTCGTTCTTAAGTTCCAGCACCCACACCGGCCATGTGGCGAGCGCCACCGTTGGCTTAATGGTCGACGACAGCACCTACACCGAAGCCGCCACCGGCAATGGCCCAGTCGAAGCGGCGTTTCAAGCCATTCACCGCATCGCCAAGTTGGAAGACGCCAAGATGGTCGACTACAACCTGCAAGCCAAAGGCGAAGGTGAAAATGCCTTGGGCCAAGTCGACATCATTATCGAGCACCAAGGCCGCCGTTATCACGGCGCCGGTTTAGCCACCGACATAGTCCGCGCCTCGGTGCTGGCCTATGTGCACGTGCTGAATTTAATCGAACGCAGCAAACGCATCGACGCGGTGAAACAAGCGCGTCGCGATGCGCTAGTCGGCGGTGAAAAGTAGTTGGCGGCGAAAAGTAGTCGGCAGTGAAAAATAACTCGTGCACCTTGGCTGCCCGCAACAAGCAGCCAAGGTGCACACCAAATTCGGCGCTTTGCCCACGAAAAAATGTCAGGCACAGCGCCACCAAGATCAAACATAAAAACCAGTGGAACAGACGATGAAAACCTACAAAATTGCCGTGTTAGCCGGCGATGGTATCGGCCCCGAAGTGATGGCCGAAGCGTTAAAAGTACTGCGAGTGACCGCGCAGCGTTTTGGCTTTAACGCGCAAACCCAGGACGCATTAGTCGGTGGCGCCGCTATCGACGCACACGGCGAAGCCTTGCCAGAGAGCACCTTAGCGCTGTGCCGTGACAGCGA